TAGGTTTTACGAACAACTGTATGAGCGAACAAAATAGGTTGCCCAGAACAGCCGGGGTTTAACTAAAGGGTACCTAATGATTAGTGTGCACAGAACACATCGTGGTAGATCAATTTGCCTTTTTAACGTTTGTTTTAATTAGTTCGGTTTGTATCGTTTGTTTGTTTTTCTATAATTATGTATTTAATTGTTTTAATAACGTGTTTATAAAAAAATCCCAGCGTGCATTCGATTTCTAATTTTTTTTGTCGCATTTTTCTCTTTGGCTGCCGAAGCCCTTCCAGTCTATAGTCTCTAGTCTACCCACTTTCTTCTCACTTTTTTTGCGTAGATCTTCTGAAACCACTATGATGCCAGCACAAGCAATAGCTATCCGTTTCTTGCTTCGCATTTTAAACACTTAGTTTAACTAATCTGCCTCTGCCACGACCAGATCTTTGAGTTCACTTGAAATACCACGCGCCAGACCAAGTCTGTCTGAAACGTAAGATTTCACTCCACTAACGGACGGATCTGATACTTCCAATCCCAATTAATTAGTGGACAGGAAAGGATTTAATTCGTCCGATCTGGATCTGGCGAATCAAATCTCTACGTATCTGAACTGTACGGATAATCTGCACGTGTATGGGGCGCTAATAACTTAGGAATGTCAGAAGAAAACAGAATAATTACACACTTCCAATAAACACATCTTGAATCTTACCTGCGAGAGTCAACAGCTGAGTGCAGGTCTCCACATCATGCAGAATAGCCAGCCGGTCCCAAGAAGCTGTGATGGCCAGCTCAGCTCCGGCCAGCCACTCGGCTGCGGCCACAGCACCGGAATGCCCACTCAGTTCCCCTACTGGGGTCCTCAAATAGGAGCCCCTTTGCTGAGCCACCATTTCCGAGGAGTCATCGCCCGGTACCAATTGCTCGCTACCTTCTTCTAGCTCTTCTTCCGAAGAGTGCCCCTTCTAGATGAGGATAGAAGCAGTGAGCATGGCCAACCTAGAGTGACTGGCTTACAGGTAGGTCCCAATTGAGGGCCGCTTGCCAGATATGCGCCACTCCATCGCCGCCCCCAGTCAAGACCAGGTCCTTAGCCGGGTGAAACCTGATGGAATTCACTGAGCCCGAATGGCCTTGGTACTGGAGCAGGCATCTGGTTGACTCAATGCTCCAGATGCAGGCTGTATGATCTGTGAGGATGCGTCCAAATTAGTTCCAGCGTAATTATTAACAACATCAGACCGGTTAATAATATGCGCCCCTTATAGAAAAAAACTTTTTTTAGTACAGAAGAATTTTCGTTTCTTACCTGCTGAAGCAGTTCCAATTATTGGGACCCCTGGCCTAGCCACTGATACCTCCCAAACCCCATCTTTATGCCCCACGTACTCTTTAAGCAGACTGCAACTGTACTGGGGGGCTTTGAAGCTGGACACGATCTTGCTAGTTTGCGCCTTCAATTTGTGAGCAGTCTTCGACTTCTGCGAGGATGAGCTGACTGTGAAATGATCAGGGTGAGTTAAGCAGGCCCACACCACCCTTCACGTCATCCGCACTCACGTTTCTTAGTGAGCACCTTGGAAAAATTGCTCTCAAAGTCTGGACAGTCCGGCTTATCAAAGGTGTCCTTTTCCAGCTTCTCGTTGAGTACTTCAATCTTGTCCTGCACTGGAAATAGATAAAATAATTGCCCTTAGATGTTGCATGCAGTTGAAACAAGCCTACGGTTCTGGTTTTCTTGATAGAGCAAATCGAACTCGCGCTCAATTTGGGAGAACAGTGCATGCAGTCGGGCTTTGTAGGCCAGCGAAATTGAGTCGTTTTCAATGTCGCTCTTGAAGCCCGTGGAAAAGTCACTGTCCATGATGGCGGCGCTTTGGGGGCGATTCAAGGAGCCCCTTTTGACCTTTTGGATTTTGCTGTAGGCCGCATTCGGATGGCCTGACATGATGAATGGGGGCTGCAATCGAGGATTTAGAGTAAAAACTGACAGCTACACTGGGGGGCTCACCCTTTTGCAGGTTAGGACTTTGAGGGGGTTCTACAGAGACTGTTATCAAACCATCTGGTGACACATTTATGACGACCAATCAATTGATGAAACTCTGACTGGAGGTCAAGGTTTTAGGTGCAATTAAGGTTTTTATTTAATTTAATTAGTTGAAAACATTCAGGGCTTAGGTGTCATTGATGGACATGAGAACATTGACAATCACTCACGTCTAGTGGTAGGCGCAACATTTACGTGGGCGCCAATCCTGACAGTTAATGCCGCTGAATGGCGCGAAGTTTCAACATTTACATTTAAGATTGTGAAGTATTTTTGCAAAGGCAAAACAAATTCAACGAGCATATTTAAATAAATTGCATCCAGCATGTTGACAATTCTGAGGCTGTGTTTCTTTATCATAATGGTTTCTGTGCGAAAAGTGGCAGTTTTTAATTACTTCCAATAAAAAATCCGTTATTAAGTTTGTTACTTTCTAGTGAATTCTAGTTTGTCACTAGAAACATCACTAAATGCTATTAAAGTGCACGGCAGTAGATTTTTAAACGTCGTAGAGACAATAAAAAGGTGAATAAGCAAAGGCGAATCTTTTCAGTTAAAAAACAGTCTCGTAAAGGGAAAAATAGTGGTGTGACTCAAATTAAACTTACAAATAAAATATAAGAACAATTCAAACCAATACTGAAATATTGAAATTCATTTAAATATACTCCTTCAAGAAGCACTAAATGTAAATTTTTAAACTGCGCGCCATTCACCAGGGCCAAAGCTGTCGGGATTTGCGCCCACATAAACGTTGGGGCTACAACTAGACGGGGATAGACTTCCCAACCTCATTTCCTTTGTTTATATGTTTCTTTCTGATTCGGTTTGCAGTCGCTGCAATGATTGGCCCGTAGGTTCGGAGCCAGAATGAGCCCCCCATTTTTAACCAGCGAGATTATTTGTGTTTTAATCAGTGTTTTTGTAAATTGATCTAACTATGCGGGATGAACAAGTCGAATTGTTAAGAGTCCACAAAGACAGGTTGCTGCGACTCACCGAGCTGCAGTCTTTGGCCAAAAGCCTCCAGGACTGTACGATTTTCACGGAAACTGAGGTGCGCAACCTTTTTGCAAGTCGCGATGAACGCTACAACAAAATCAGATTCCTCGACGCCCTTATCGATAAGGAAGAGGCTGCTTACAACTATTTGGTTGATTGGCTAACCACGATAGGCCAGTCTGAACTGGCCCGAACACTCGCCGCAGAGAAGTCCGGAATAACACCGTTTGGAACGCCTCTTTACGAAGACAATGACGAGGACACTGAGGACGACATCAACTCATCTATTGAGTCGGAGGTGTTTTCACCAGTTAATCACAGCCGGATCCCGTTGACCATTAAAGTGGAACTTGCCACAAAGTTCCTGGACACTTCTCAACACAACCCAAATATTCCCTACTATGAATGCAGATCGAAGAACAGGGGAAACGTCCTAATTATTAACAATCACAACTTTACGCATGAACGACATAAACCCCGAAAGGGGGCCAAAGTTGATGAGGACAATTTGACTGAGCTGTTCACGCAAATGGGTGGCTGGGTAAGATCCTTTCTTTACTAATGCACTAAGTTTAATCAGTTCGTTCAAAGGAGAAACGTTGCATAGGAATGCTGAAGAGAAATCTTCAAAATATTTGCTAGTGTCGGGGAAATGGTACAGGGCGATCAAGTTGTTGATTGGGGAAGTAAAAGAGGGTAGAAAAGTTCGTATTAATATACTTCCGCAAACGCGTTGTTCCTGAGATACAGAGCTTTTTGTGTTGCATCCCTTTGTTCTAACGCTTGCAGTCACGGTCCAAGATAAGAATGGGGATATCGGAAACCGTAGATGATACGAAGTTGGTTAAATTGGAAAAAAATTGGGCGATTAAAAGACGAAAAAAATGTACTCTCAGATCTTTGTTACGAAATTTCGTTTCTGACTTATTTGGAAAAAGCTAAAATTTATTTTCTGGCGTTAATATCAAAGCTGGAGCAAATCGTACTACACTTTCCCACAAAACCTTGAATGTATTGAAATTCACTTGAAAAACATCTTAAATATCTCTAACTGTCCCTCTACATATAAGAGGTCTCAGCATTTCGGGCGTCACACTTTCAAAAGGTGCAACCACCAATCTACGGGGTCTTTTTCAATTGCAAAACTTAGCTTATAAACATAATTCTTTATACACTAAAAAATCAAGCGGGGTGATATCGGGTGATCGTGCTGACCAGGACGTCTCAGAACAAGTACTTACATGTCTATGTTGGAATCGAACCGACCGATATTATTTAACCCTTCTTGAGTTGTGGGCAGGTAAATCGAGTACTTCGGCTAAAGTGCTTATCGGGGGCTTCTAAATAATGATCTGAAGAGCTGATGATCTGGCGCTCACGGCTGTGTAGGACTCCAGCTAAGCTGTTTACCCACTAAAACCCCTTCCTCACCGCCGAGGTGGTGTTTGGCCTAGCACCGCGGTCATTTATGTCCTATTCTGCCTGCGTATTTTACTCCTTCATTATCCCTATTTATTCTATGAATTCCAGAAGAATTCTATGACGTGCAGTGACACATAATATGTAGAGTAGTTTCGTCCTCTAACTGGCACCCCCTGCAGGTCGGTTGATCGCTCGGTCCCATCCTGAAGGGGTGTTTTTAGCGGGAGTTGTGTCCTGTTGAAAAGGCCACTATCCTCCTTATTTTTTTGCCTGCTGAGATCTAGCAGTTCATTTTTACGCACTGGTTGTGGAGGTCCACCAACTGCCTTGTGGTAAGGAGTTGCGGTGTCTCCTCCCAGTACTTTCCATGTTCTTCCAAGATGCATTGCCCAACTCCCGCCCTAACTTGGACATGAGATATGCCACAAGCAGGTTATTGGTTTGTCAGTAGTAGCTCGGCCCCTGCTTTAAAAATTTTTCTTTACTCCTGTTTGTTCCAGTTGCCTAACTGAGTTTTACTCTGTTTGAGCTCACAGCCAGGGTCGTAAGTTCTTTTACACAATCTAGACCAGATTGTGTACGATTCGAGTGCCTTTATTCTTGGTGCCAAAATTGCAGCCCAGATGACCAAAAATGTACATTTTTCCTGTTGAATACACCGTTAGTGGAAACGAAATGTTCATCCGACCATATTATTTAGTAAAGAAAAAGCTTTGAAGCCAAGAAACCACATAGAACTGATTTAAAATTTCCAGGTTCCAAAAGCAATTTGGCTGCTTTTGCACATGGAACCACTACCAAAGATGTTGCTTTCAGCTTGCATCGTAATTAGAATATTCGGACGCTTTAGAAATTCTTTTTCTTGCTCGATATTTTTCTCGTTAACAGTTTCCGTATAGGTTTCCACTTGCACTTCTTATTGTCTTCAGCTGCTCTCTTCTGACAGTTACAGTTTCTATCCGTTCTTGGATAACTCGCACCCGTTTTCCGTCTGTTCCTGCTTAAGAGCAGGCAGAGCAGCAAGTCGATCCTCTCTTACTTTATGTTGGATTTTAGTCACCAGGATACAATTGTCCAGTATATGAACAGCTATGCACAGTTAAGCGCCAGTGTGTCCTCAAATGTCGGTTTTTTGTTTCGGGGTTCGAATTAAAAAAAAAATTCCGGTGAGGTTTGGGAAATGCTCTTTTATGTACTCCCAGAGCTGGTGGTCTGTCGCTCTGGGTTGTGTGGGACTCCAGCTAAGCTGTTTACCCACTAAAACCCTTTCCTCACCGCCGAGGTGGTGT